CATGGACTCTGCACAGATTCAAGATATTACCTGTCCTTATTCCTTTGTTTATATGTTAGAAAACAGGAAACCCTCGATTTCATATATCTATTTTGTCAGAGGGAAAGATCTGCTGCTCACATTATTCCTTATTTGCCACCCCTACTGTGTTCTATCATTCGGGTGTAGTGTCTAATCTTCATCCCCTCAGCATCTTTCCCTGTCTTCTCTGTTCTCACGTATTCTCTTCTGTATGTATTAATTATGTACCTTTCCTCTTAGGCATTTCCACTTTGATCGTCATGTTGATATCCCCAATGGTTTTTGGTGTATTTATATGGTGTTACATATATCTCTCTGCGTCCTCCGAAGTAGATAATTTTCTCAAATACGTCAGCTGTATTCCTAGATACACTTTATTATAGTCATCCGCTCCTATATGATTGCTTCCCCCCTTCCTATTTTAATGATTCTTTAATCTCTTATGTGTATTCTTATTCTTATGCTCATTTTATCCCCTTGGCGCGTTCCAAGTTATTATTATTCCTAACTCTCCATGAGAAATAGCTTCTTCTATATAGTATTATTCCTTTTATAATTTCCCATTCCTCTTTAGAGTATAAGAAGTTTAATCTTTCATTTTACATAATTGTTATATTTTAATAGTACCGCATCGATTTCGAGTCTTGTTAAGAGGAAGATAATACAGATTAAGGCAGGTGTGCAAATCTTCCGTAATCATTTTTTCTTAATAGTACTCGAATAATTATTGAATCTATATTACAATAATATTGAGAAGGAATAATCACAGTTCACGACATATTATTGTACTTACAAGGCTACTTCGCCTATAAAAAGTTCCTCCTATATATAAGCACCCTCGGTATGTTGAAATTCCTTTTAGTGATAGTATCGCTCAGTTTCTTATACAGCATGAATAGCCTTAGGATTGGTCTATGCGTATTCCTGGAATGGAATTATTTTACAAGTCAGTGTATTGGTGAAATGGTATGATTTATACAACTGCTGCTCTCCTTATGGAATTCGACTCTCTAAACCTTTGTATTATCTTAAACAATTTTCCTCCTCACACAGCACTTTTCTATATATAATATTACCCTTGACAGAAGGTTATCCTGTAAACAGTTCTTGTAAGGGTATTTCTTACAGTAAATACAAATATACCGGAGCCATCTGGTATTTCCTATATATGTGTATCGCTTAGTGATTGGAATCTCTCCTAGAATACCGCTGCATCCACTCTATTATCTCTTACTAAATATCTCTTTCTAAATTATGGTGCTTCCTGGTTTAAATCTTGACGACTCCACAATAGGGACTCTCTGGATTCTGCTACTGTTTATGCAGTGATACTCTAGAGAAATGTGTCCTTCTCACATACTTAATAATGGTCGCGAAAAATGTACTCCCTATATATTAGTCTTCCAAAGAAGGGTATATCCTCCGCCTCATTCTATTCTTCAAATAATAGCACCCGTTGGCCTATGTTTCCCATATAAACGTATTCCAGTGATAGAATGCCCACGATTATCCTTCTGATATCATGTTTCCCCATCGAGATGTGTTATCTTCCGCCAATAATACTCTACAAATAAAAAAACTGTAAAATATGAACCTGGTGCAGAATAATATTCAGGCGACATGTATACAGTACACATAATTATACTGGAGGTATAGACACAGGGTTCATATAATAGGGCTGTATGCTAAGCGTACATTGCACATGCCCATAGTCCTGGGGGGAGCGATATTTTTTAAATAATACTACAGACAAATCATTATTCCTCAATTAGTCACGTTCTCCAATTAGTCGTATCTAAGACGCTATGTTATGAGGCATTCACATAAAAGCATTCCTGCGACACTGTACATTACAAACAACATCTCCCCTAGAATCCTTGCATTGTCCATATGCAAGTATTTCTGCTTCTATTGTCTTACTCCGCCAATAATAAATTCGACACAGCTATACCATCTGCACCTGGGCGTGATTAATGGCTGGCGCTTTCCTTTAGAATGTAGCCCTTAATTGTTCACATAATACTATTTCATAGAGATATATACTCATCAATGACTGTTGTCGTCCAAATAATAGGAACCGAAATTTGGAACACATAGCCCGGAATTCA